TTAGCCTGCTAAGAATATTGGCAATTCAATTTTTTATTTACTTATTTTAAACATTAACAGAAATTTTCTGACTGCAAGCAATTTGGATCCAATTTGTCAATTAGCTTTCACATTAAGCCATGATTTGCAAATCATACACTAAAAAACATGCTTAAACAGACTAACTTATCTTGAAATGTATTAAACCCATCAAAAATATGTTGCTTGAAGCAATTTTAAAAACATGAATGGACACATACTATTTAAGAGGATTATTGATTATATACCAGCACCATCCAATGCAGACAAAATTGACAATGCATTTGCATGCGTGTACTATAAATTGTTTGAAACTGCTTGTATTTTCCAAATAATTCATTTTTTTATTGCCAGGATCATTTTTAGTAGCTTTATTTATAGGAGCAATATTTTACTGTGTTGAGTTAATTTGGTTTTATTAACTTATGAGAACATCGGAATACCATCACATACCATCCATTTTCAGCAACTATAATAAGAGAGTGGTGTCCATTATATTATTCTTACAAAATAAAGCCTATAAGGATCCTAGATTTTGATGAATCAGATATACTTATTCATAGGTTAATTAGACAATGAGATTTATATAACTGATAGAACAATGATTATTTTTTCAAAAGTATCTTTGATAACATAATTTAAGACACTGCCACGAATGTTAGCAAAAATCCTCCTCTTAAACTAATAATACGATAATTAAGAAACTGACAAAACTGAGTAAATAATACATTTTTGCTGATGTATTTGAGAAATAACTTTAATAAATCTTCCAAATAACCTGTGAAAAATTACACTCATATCATAATTTATTTGAAAGCAGTGATAATTAAGATTTTTTCCCTAGTGATCTTCTAGATTTACAAAAGCAAATTAATTTTACTAGAATATGTGATCCAAATTATGCCTAACAATTCTGCTATTTAGGTAATATTTCTGAAATTGCAGGTTTGAATTATTCAATTTTGTAGCATTCTTTAGCAATCTTCTTTGCCAAACAAACTAACATACTGTATCTGCAATTGTGATACTTAGAAATATAAAAGCAACATTTAAAAAAAAATTAAAACAAATCTTCATTACAAAATGATTTATTTTCTTGGTTAAAAAAAACCGGAATCCTAAGGCAAATAACATTTCTCTAAACCAGTAAATTGTATAATTAGTAATGCAACCTCACAATATAATGGTTGAATTCAGGAGTATGTTTCCATATCAGAGCCATGTTCTTTAAAAGCTCTGATAGTAGAGGTAGAACCAACAAAATTTATACAATAATATTGCACTCTAAAAATTCTAGAATTATTTTTCGTGAAAGAGCTAGGATTTGGGAAAATACCTGTGGTCAGAACAATTAAAGCAATATGATAACAAAAAGTACATTACACACATACCCAAATTTAAGCTAACTAAAATGAGAAATGATACAATTAAACACCTACTCAAAATAAAAATGACCCCGGGGTCTTTTTGGTACTTAATAAATCAGGTTGGATTAGTACTGTCTTTGAATAGAGAAAAATTTAAAATTAATGTTCATCCATATTCAAATTAAACCCAATAAATCCTTTCCCCCAGCTAGTCAGATACCATGATCATACAGAATAAAATATTAATTGATAATTTCATATTGAATATTTTACTGAGATAATGTAATATTATCTAAGAATTAAAGGAAACCAAGCCACTGATTCACAAGTCCCCTATAGGCTTTGTAAGTGCTATACCATAACTTTTAAACAATATTTACTAAACCAACTACAATAATTGGGTTTGCAGAAGACATTGTCAGAAACCAGTTTCAATGTAGAGCACCATATGAATGTGGTTATGTATTACCAATGATATTTGAAACTTTTTAAAATTTTAATATGTTCTGGAATATGCTGTCTGCTTTGTTTAATAGGCTTTTAATACTGCTATTTTTGAGATGGTTTAGGTTAAACACTAAAAAGCAGTCTGAAAGCATTTTAAATATACTTTAAATATATCAAATATATTAAGAATTAGTATTTTGTATTAGTATTTACTAATTTAGTATTTTGTTATTCTGCTAAAATGCATCCAAAAAGAAGCTGAATTCTACACAAAAAACCAAGTGTTACTCTGCTCCCGTTGTTCATATTCCAGATTTTTTTTTACTGCACTGTTCCCATAATACAGGGGTCTTCAAACTTGACAGTTTAACACTTGTGGACTTCAGCTCCCAGAATTCTTCCTCCTGTCATGTTAACTCAGGAATTCTGGGAGTTGAAGTCCACAAGTCTTAAACTTGCCAAGTTTGAAGACCCTTGCCATAATATGTTCTACCTGCTAGAATAGCTGTCAATAGTAGATATACAGAATAATGAAAACTTGGAATTTTTTTCCCTATATAAATATGTTATACACTTATAATTGATTTTAATACAGCTACGTAAGATCCAAATTTTGTCAATAGGCATAATAAAAAAGGCGAAAGATTCTAACAACAGGGAATTGAGGGAACAGTGCTACAATGCCAACTTAAGTGTTTATTGTACAAATTTTCAGAAATCAGTAGAGTCACTGATCCATATTGATCTCTTAAGTAAAACTGCTCTATTTAGATTATGCCCCTCAGCTGCTGCTTTGTGCAGGGAACTACATTGATTTTCTAGTGCTCCAACTCAACATTATCAACAATCTCCCACACAATCACACTTGGAAAAGTATGGCAAATATTTGGCTTAGATGGAATTTCAAATCTTACTTCAGAAAAATGATTGGAAAAAGTTGGTTGATTTATTAATTTACAATACCAATTTCCTAAACATATTTCTTAATAAAATAAGGTTTTATTAAGTTTATTAGGTTTCCTAGAAAAGTACACACAATGAGCAAAACAGATTACAAATAGTCCTCACTTAATGACTATTTGTTTAGCAAATCTTCAAAGTTTTCAAAGTTCTGAAAAAGTGACATTCACATTTAAGATAATTCCTGTGGCCACATGATTGCAATTCAGATGTCTGATAACCATTGTGTATTTACAACGGTCACATGACCACCATTTGCAACCATCCCAAAAGGCTTCCGAAAAGCAATGTCAATGGGGAAATCCCAGGAAGTCACGTTTTGGACGTGTGATACATTTATTAACGATCATGGGTGATTTGCTTAATGACCAGTCACATGTTATTATTGCCTTTATTGTCAGAGTACAACATGTGTACAATGAGATTGGCTATGGTGTTGCCATTCCCTATTAGAGTGGTAAGCTAGCATTATCAATATACATTTTATTCAATATTTGTCTGCTCTTTCTCAGATTTCACCAATGAAAAAATGAGCATGTCAAATTACTAAACCAGAGTTAATTTTAACCATGGTTCATTGAATATACCACATTAGAATTGTCTGAAAAATCAAAATTAAAAGTATCATTTATGCTTTAGCATAAGCTCATCCTATGTTTTATCAGACAGACAGAGAACAATGTAACATGCTTTGTTTCAAAGTTAGTATGACGTGTAAAATCAGCACTGTGGTGTGGAAACTGATTTCTATATTAATAACCAATACTATGGTTTATCCATTAAACTGTTTACAAATAATTTCTGACTTAACAAGTTTGAACTCAATCATTTTATTGCTTATTTTATATTAACAGTTTATTCAATTAAACTATAAGTTCAAATTTAACCCCAGCCATTCCTTGTTTCTAGAAACAGTCCATAAATATTCCCACAAGAATCGTATAAGCAGTGTATGAAAGCCATCATTCACACAAGACGTGGCTAGAAAAATAACTGAAAAAAATGTTTTTCTGATCATTTCTCAACAAAGGAACATACCACACCCCTTGAAGTAGTGGCATGCAAATCTTTTGAATTTGAACTAATTTGAATGCAAAATGTCATTTCAAGTTCAGAATTGCTGTTTTGATTCAAAACACTTTCAAAATGATTGAAAACTTCATTTTAATTTGCAAAATAAATATTCTGCATTCAATGCAATCAATTGGGTCTTCAAAAGTAGCATTTCAAATTCATGTTATTTTGCATCTACAGTATTTTGCAAAATGCAAGATTTAAGACACAAAGCCAATATAATCTTCTCTTATATTACTAATGCTACTCTTAAGAATGGAAATTATTAGCCTTTGGAGTACTTTTAATACTTGCAATTAGGCAAATTATTAGCTTACTAGCTCGATACCCGTGCTTCGCTACAAAACAATGTGGTCAGGCTTAGCTTTGGGGGAGGAAAATAATTGGGGGGGGGGGGATTCTGCCTCTGCCTACCAGCATCCATCATTATTCATCTGGCTAGCGTTCTGTCAGTGTGTGAGAGTTGAGACCTGTTTAGAAACTGAAACAGTATTTGCTGTGTGAGCAAGTAAGGAACCTGGGCGTGGCTGCTTGGTGCTGTGAAACTAAAACTGAAACTGAAACTCCTCTCCTCTGCTTGCGTTTTGCATTTGGAACATTTGGAACAGATTTCTTTTCAGGTGGAGTAGAACTCCTTGGCATCAGAACGTGTTAATAATATACGAAATATCAATGTTCTGAGGGTCATTTTAAAAAATCCTTTCTTAGTAAGCACCTAGAAGCCAAGAGGAACATGCATGCCAAATTTCAAGGTTGTCGGCTTTACGGTTCTAGAGATTTTGTGATGATGCATGAGTGGCATTTCACTTTTATATATAGAGAGATTACCTCATGCACAATCATTCTACATGTGGAAAACCTTCCATACTTATAAATTCAAGCAATTTGTTTTGAATAATATAGTATACCTAGACTGCAATAGAATCCAGGATTATTATACAGTTGACACCTATGTAACATTTATTCTTAATGTGCATTGATGAGGTTATGCATATGTATGTGTATTAAGTATTATATGTTTCATCTGCAAACATGTTGGAGACATCTGGCAAGACACCCCAAAATATCCCTAATGGATGGCATTTTGAAACTGTATTTTCATTGTCAATATTCAAAATAAAATCTTTGACATACCTTGTTCATTGCTCCAGGCTGTGGACCTCTGAGGCTCGCCTGTCCTCCCATTTGAGGAGAACCTTGCTGTAATGTCTCTGCAATTAGAGTACCAGCATTTCCCATTCCTGGGTTTGGATATGACATATTGGAACGTCCTCTTCCAGCTCCAATTGAACCGTTCATAACTTGTCCTTGCATCATTCCTTGCCCATTTCCTGCAGACAACATACCAGGATTCATGCCAGCATTTATTCCTGCATTCATTCCCATTCCAGGCTGATTTACTGGACTATTTACTGTTGGCATCATTCCTGCAGTGGACTGAGTTGATGGACCTTGATTTGGCCCACCTGTACCCATCCCCAAATTTGGAGATGTCAGTGCAGCCTGTGCCATCGGGCTTTTGACCATACTGTTTAAGATTCCCATTCCAGGATTGTTCTGTTGTGGCTGACTGGCCATATTCTGTGCTGGCCCAGCAACTCCCATATTAAGGTTTGGCGAGCTGCCAGCTCGTAGCAGTTCTGACAACTGTTTGTGTTTTGAAGCAGCATCTTGTGCCATACCAAGGCTGGTCTGCAGTTGATTAATGTCACCACCATTAGTAAGTCCCAGTTCCGTAGAGCTGATAAGTTCATCTGGTAAGTCATGTTCCAAATCAAAGAGAGATCCAAAATCTGGAGAGAAAAGTTAAAAGAAAAAGATTTAGAGCACTTCAGCAAACATTTCAGCTGAATTTTTTTTTCCAGTATTGATAGAATAGCTATTTATCTAATTTGTTTTTGACTAATTTTTTTAAACAAAAAGGTACCTCAACAACACTCTCAAAATATTAAATAATGTTTTTAATATACTCAGTTCAGGCTGTGCAACACTATCAATTAACTCACATTGGTTCCAGGTTTTTAAGCTTTTAAGTATCTCTCAAATGTGAAATGTGACATCTTACAGTTGCTAACCCCAAGTGCTTAAAAACTAAGAGCAGCAAATCAGTGCACATGCCTATACATCATTCAGCAACACTTTGCTAGAAGAGAGATGGCATTAAACACGATTCAGCAATTCCATTCTTTACTTGCCTAATTTTTAGTTCTATAACTTGTCAGCTAACATGATCCATCATATATAGTAGGAAAGTTTACCAGTGAAAACGGAATAGACAAATTGTTCTATTTTGCTGAAACTGACCTACACATTTTACAAGTTTAAAGATTATGTACTTAGGAGATATAGAAATATGAGATGAACATATTCCATGTTTCTGAATGATCAAAAAAAGTCAACCACAATCTCATTTTGGTTCTATTACCAAATTTATTCAATGTGTGAATATAATATAGCCCAGACACAAGATGCTAAAAGGATGAACATTTCTAATTCTATAGTTTTTAATCCAAGATATTCGATAGGTAAAAATCTTAAAAGAAATACAAAACTGAGCTAAGTCTTTTTGGCTTTTATACTATTTGCCTTTCAGAAGCTTCCTGCAATGAAATCTTGAACAGCTTTAACAGCTATTTAAAATTCCAGAATCTCCCCCAAGACAGTGTTAAGATCTGCTGAAGGAAAACCTAAAGAAAGACTACCAATGGCTACAAGCAGTTTCTCTTAAAATTAGTTTGGCAAATTCTAGGGTGACTTTATTTTTAAAATTATTAATAAAATATTGATCCAAGAGGCACAAATTCTCCTTCCTAACAAGTTTAATAGCTTACCATATTACTTCAAAGAGTTTGAATGTTTGTTAATATACCTCAACAGTAGTCCTGACATTTGCAAACAAACGTAGCAGCTTCTTGTAGTGACAAGGCCAAAACAGTGGGTTTTAGCAAAATATTCAAGAGATTCAATGTTAGTTGCTATTTTTAAATCAGATGTATACCATTTTTTAAAACTAAGGTATTTCTTGGACATGGGAGAAAACAACCTGGCAATTCAGAACTAATCTACAAAAAAAATGACGCTCTTCGCCACACTATTTATATGTGGGGGAAAAGTACATGATGCCACATGGTTCACTTTGTACACTGAAGTAATATAAATGAACAATTTTCAATTTATTTGAAGAAAATACTTTGATGGTACAAATATTAACAAGGAGCATAAATACTAATAGATTATTAAGGTAGTTTTTACTCTGATTTTATGATTTACCCCTTAAACAGGAGCTGAATTTGATAGTTAAGTTCTTAAATTCAGTTCTTATCATTTGGTAGTATAATCATATTTACTTGCAAGTAAAGCCTTCATAATGGTTCTAGAGGTATACCAACGTGTGTACTCTGAATGGTTGAAGGCTACAAAAATTCAACATGTCGTCTTAGAGAAAGGAGATAGGGAATCAATTTATTGCTACCTCCTCACACAGCTCATTAACAGAGAACATTTGGGGGAATATAACCAGCTGTATTACAGAAAGGTGAATCGACATACCCATCCCCTTCTCCACTCATGGAATTATTCAATTTGGAATTTCACAGAGCCTTTGGAACTAACATGAATATTATTGCATATTGTTTAACAACTACATCACATTGGCTGATATTCAGAGATATTGTGTGTACATATGGAACTGAATACTTTTCAGAATTTTCACTTTTCCAATTTTAAGGCCATATAATTTATCTACAACTATTAAAGCAGTAAGTATATTTCCACTTCAAAGATAGTTTTTGAAATTTAGTTTGCACGTTCATTGGAAATTAAATTCTGACATGCAAAACAAACTTCATTTAATGATATTTTAAGGAACATATTTTTCAGTAAGCAATTTCTATTTTAAAAATCAGAAGCTATTGGCATTGGTTAATAAAGCATTTTATGATGCAGATTGCAGAAAAACAAGCACCTACCGATATGTTTAGTTTAGTAGCACTTATTGAAACTTGCCTAAAATACAATTACAGATGACATAACTGCTATAAGTAGTAACTGCTTTAAGTGAGAATTTGAACAAACCTCTTCTCTAATCTTATTAGATAATTTCAGAAATACTGCATGAAGGAAGGAAAAGCAACAGACTATACATTCTACACACTTTCAGAAGTTTATCTTAGGGCTCCTTAAAGAGCCAAGGGCAACCACATATAACAGATGGAAACTGAAATGGCATGCTTCTTTGCCAGAACTCCCTCTGGGATCTGAGATCCACAGGATCCTATAGTACATAAAAGCAAAAACACCTGCTACCACTTCCTTAAGTGTTCCTGAATCCTAGGAAAGTGATAATCACTTCTGCCATGAAATGACAAAACCAGAAACAAGGAACATTACAAGAGAATCTCACTTCAACTACCCTTTTCCTTAGGTATACCAAAAGATGGTAATTCCACTCACATTATTTTTTATAAATGCCTATACAAAATGCTAAACTATTAAAGTAATATTTTCATTTTACAGAAAGTCTATTTCAATGTTATAAATCTTCAGACATTTGGAATAAATTTTGTCAAAAATAGAGGAATCTCAAAATTCCAATACAAGCACAAAAACATTCAAAACTGTGATGACTTTTACACATATGCTTCAAGGATAAAGGAAAGACTCAAATATTCCTAGACCTAACTTATTGAGTCCAAATAGTTTGGTACCTGCCAAGCAGCTTAGCATACACTACATGTATTTACAGGTTTTTCTGTAGTCACAAAATAGGCAAGATGACAGAAACAATTCATTTCTGGAAAGGAAAAATAGAACTTGTACATGTAGTTTCATTAAACTGAAGAGCAACTGCAGTTTACTAGCAGATATAATAGGACTTGCATATCTTAACTACAGAAATATAACTAAAATGAAATGCATTCTAAGATGACCTTAGTCAAAAATCTATGTGGAAAAAACACATTCAAAATATTGTGAGAAGGATTATAAGCAAAAAACACTACCATAGTAAATAACTATAGCTGTGTTCTTTCACTTCATGCTTATGTTGTTAAGCAGAATTTTTTTTTGCCTCTCCTTTAGTTCATTTGGAGTGGGCTTGGTTATCTTCAAACAATAAAACATTAAATCCGACATGAAAAATGTTCAGTATACAAGGTATTCTTGATAACTATAGCAAAATATTTCAGGGAGAACTGTATTGGTATATAATCTTATGTAGAAATTCTAAGGAATAAAGCTACTTTTAGGGATAAAGACAGAATTATATAAATTAATCTCACTTATTTTTCTGGTATTGAAGGCAAAAGGAAAAGGGTATAGCAGATGATGAGATGGTTAGATAGTGTCATCAACACAATGAACATGAATTTGGGAAAACTCCAGGAGACAGTGCAGGAGTGGAGGACAGGGGGCTTGGCATGCTGTGGTCCATGGGGTCCTGAAGAAATCAGGCATGACTTAGTGACTGAACAATAATTTTTATTGTAATTACATAATGTAGATGCATTTCCAATTTGTCAACAGATATAGATTCTTGGCTCTTTTCCCATAGCTCCCAAATAAACTTAGCATTTACACCTGTGCATTTTCTAGAGAATTAGAGTAAGAAAAAAAAGAACAGAAAAATGAATCTAGAGCATGTAATAGCTAGAAAAAAGATGCAGCACTGTGACGCAGCATTATGGGAAAAATGTTAGTAATTTGTTACAACTATGTTTACTATTCTTACATATGTAAGAATAGGTAACTTTTTCTGCACAGCTTTTATTGGAACACATTAAATCAGGTATCTTTACACCTTTAGAAAACCGAATATTAAAACAAAGTCAAACTAGCAATTCACTCTTTGCAATATATTGAAAGAACTTAATATTTATAAGCTTGCTATATTTGAAAATCTCCCAACTATTATTTCAAAGAGGATTCAACCAACAAAAATTAAAATCACATTCATAAAGATTAATGAAAAGTTAAAAACATTTAGCAACTTTTGGAAATGGTAAAAAATTAAAACAGTCAATACAACAAAATTAGATTTATATTTCTAAAACAAATTGGAAAGATGTAATAGTTTATAAAGGCAAAAACTATGGCTTTTTGAGGAGAATAAAATTGTACCATTTTCACTGGCAAAGCATTCACTAGAAAAGTTAATTGAATCAAGTAAGATTTATATCTGAGTATACATACATTGGGTTGTATTCATTCACAATATACTTATATGACACTGAATTCATTCAATGGACTATAGTCTCAGAAAAGTACAGACTTGCAACTTTAAATCAGGATGCCTATTTTCAATTGTGTGCATGGAAAGGGTACAATGTTAATAAGGATTATTCTATAACATAAATCTGAAAAAGTATGTATTATTTTATAGCATTTGTTTTATATACCACAAGGAATTCTGAAGGCAGATTCCAATCTTACTTTCCTACAAGCAAAATGGAACTTGTTGATTTTCAGGTAAGCATTATATTAGGCCTGCAAATAGTGAAACAAATGCTCTTGGTAGCAAATAACCTACATATCCTTAAAGTTGCAGGAGATACCAAGATAGACTGCAGATTCAAATAGAAACATTGCTCAGAAGTAAATACTAAACACAAGCAGCATTCCAAATTACCTAATGTATCCAACCAGTATTCAAACAAACACATACACATACTATCTATCAAATACTATCAGCCATTTTCCCTTGCATTTATATATGCAGTAGGAAACAAATTCAATGAACAAGTCTGACAACCATTAATAATCAGAATGTCTACATTTTTGGCTGAAGGATTCCAATTAATTTCTTCTGATAAGATGGATTAAAATAACTATTGCACAAACTATACTACTCAGAAATCTCAGGAAAACAACACAATTTTTCTTTTGAAGCTAATTTATTCTTATAGAGGTATAGTTGCCTGAACTTCCAAGAGAACCTATAAAAACAGTTGTTACCAAATGAACACCTGTAACACGCATACCTAATTTCAAAAGAGTTGTAATATTTCTATCTAGCTGGTTTGTTCAATAAATAAATAAATAAGTAAACAAGTGTTACTGTACTCATCTTTACAAATAAGGCATGACTTCAGGGGAAATTCAGACATTTTAGTCTGAACAAAAGCAAATGACCAAGTCTATACTGTTTTTCAGTGTTGATCTAACAAAGCTGTCTTAACAAAAGCATCAAAATGAATTCGATCAGCAACTGATAACCTCTTTACAAAACAATATTAGTACTAAATAATTGATGGAAATAAAGGAAATTAAAGCCATCAGAACATTGGTAAAATGAAAAATAAGGACTCTTCAGATTAAATGAGTTTAAGAATTGAAGAAAAGACTTTCTATATCTACACACAGATAACAACTAAGCAATAAATATCACTTTTTACAAGATTTCAAGTGCTGCAAGGACTCAGAGGTAAGCATCAACTCATTTACATCTTCTTCAAAAGAAATAAAGCTTAATGTCAATTAAATGTCCGAAGTAATATTGCAAAATATAGGCTAAAAAAAAGTAGCCAGAGAAAAGAAATATATCAGACTGACAGAGACTGCCCGAAAAAGAGAGCCCATTTGTGATAAGGTAAAATTAAGGGATCTATGCCCAAGACTGACCTGTGCCATCGCTTGCAGAGACAGAGAGCGCCGGTGAAGAGAGTTTAGGCCTCTTGGCTGAAGGCGGGCCCGACTCCACCACATTCTCGGCCATTTTTAATTCTTTTTAGACAAACAGAGCCCAAATTGAAGATGGGGATCCCCAATGCCCTCAGCCGTTTTCTGTGATCCAAAATCAACCCGAAGATCAGTATGGAAATGGACTGAAGAAATAAACAAAGTTCCTCTTTTTCCGCTCCTCGAGATCGATTTCTGTTGGATAGCAGTGAGTAAGGGGGAATAGAGATGGGAAACAGGGTGTGGAAGCAGTCTTTTCTCCGGGCCACAGGGAAAAACAAGGATGAAAAGAACAGAACAAACCCTTCCTACAATCAATTAAAGGGCTCGGTAAATTTACAAATCGAATTAAATCCGGCCGTAGATCAGTTGGTGCTTCCTCGCCGCCGCCGCCAATACCACCATCTTCATCCTCCGGGGGGTCGTCGTCTTTTCCTCCTGCTGCTGCCTCTTCGCCGCCATCAACCTCTTCCTCCTCGGCGTCGTCCTCCTCCTCCTCATCGCCACAAGGAGGCGGGCGAAGGAGGAGAGGCGAAGAGAGAAAGAATCGTTTTTCTTTGCTCGCAGTTCTTTCCTACTCCTTCCAAAACCAGACTGCAACGGAGGAAAATGCCTACACTGGTGAACAAGGGGCTGGGGAAGGGGATCACAGACGGAACGTACCGAGGGTCCCCCTCAACTCCCCCTGCTAATCACTAATGGCTGCAGAAAAGGGAGCCGTGAAGAGGAGGAGGATGAAGCTAAGTCCCAGGAGTCTCCGCTTCACATCTTGTTGTGCAGGAACAAGGAGGCGGAGGAGAGATTTGTTGTCCCGATGGAGGCAGCAGAGATCCCGGGATGGGAGCTGGAGAGGGTGGGCTTCAGGACGCGCGCCTGCCACCCCTCCTTTTCTTTCCTTTCTTTCTCTCTCTCCGGCAGGGTACCCCTTTCTGGTGAGACGACGGGATCGATCCCAAAGCAACGAGAGGAGGAGGAGGAGGAAGCGGCAGGAGCGGCCCCTCCCCCCTTCTCTCAGCCTCTCCCCCCTCCCCGGAGGATACGGATGGTTACGAGCGCTTGATCTATCGAAAGGATAAGGCTCTCCTCGGCACTGGAGACGCCGTGCCTCAGGCGTTTCAGCAGCGGCCCCGTCTCCTCTCCACCATATAGACCCACAGGAAAGGAGATGTTCAGAGAAGCAGCAGCAGCTCTCCAAATCGAGGCGAAGCGGTTTCCTAGACCCGCGAACGTGCTCAATTGCCAGAAGGAATTGGGGTGGAGTCCACCCGGGGTCCCGAGTTTCTAGCCGAAACCGGGAGTGCGTACTCCCCTACTGGCTACGAGGCTAGAACAGTGGGTATATCACGGAGGTTTCAGGTTGTCTCGGGTCTGGCCGGCCGGGGGCCCTGCGTTGCCGAAGGTCTCTGCCGCTGTTTTCCACCTCCACGGCTGTACCCGCCTAGCTCGGTCCTTTTCGTTCGCTCCCTCCCCTCAATCGCTCACACACCAACAAAATGGCGGCTGTTGTTTCTTCACTCTCCCGATTCCTCAGAGGGAAGCGAGCGGCCGCGCCGGAAATGAGCCAAGAGAAAAAAGGGCGTGTCCAAAAAAGGAGAGGCGGGGACGCACGCAGCTCGCACACACAATGGAACGCGAAGGGCTAGGAGGGGGGAGATCCCGAGGCGGGGCCAGCTCCGGTCACGAGAGTAGCTCAACCAGTCGGCTTGCGATCCTTAAGTGATCCCTTCCGCAAACTCTCGCCTAAATTTCTTAAAGGGGCAGGAGAATTTATCTTCCCCCCTCCCTCTCCTTACTGTTTTTCAGTCGGCCGAAATGTGCCGCGAGATTGTTCCTTTGGCCAGTCCTATTATAACCCAGAAGCTGGGGGGGAGAGGTTGTGTATCCTAGAACCGACCGTGCTCGAAATGCGCATCAGAAGCTATTTATGTGACGAGGGGCCTCCTTCTTTCCTATGCCACTTGCCTTAACACTAGACCTCCACCTAGACGTCGCGGCCAAGAGATTTGGTCAGCGAAACAGTTTCTCACGTATACACAAATGTAAAGAGGAGGCCGCCACTGTGCGCCTGTGTCCGCCAACGTATAAATCATTAATGTTAGCCGTTCTGTATGATAGTATGGCCGAGACCCCAATCAAGATACAGGCTCAAGGCGGGGTTGGGAAGGACTTTTATCGAACAATCCGTGTTGCCCAGAATCAATGTCAGAATCAATGTCTGACGCTCCCAAAGGAAAAGGAAACTCAGCTGAGCGAAGAAGAGGTTTTTATTACGCAGGAGGACGCGGGACTTCGTTGTCCCTGGATTGATGTGCATTTCCTGTAGTACCATGGGCCGAAGTGCTCTCTCGGTGCCCGCGACTTCCTACAAAAATCGGGCTCTGTAGGTTAAAGGAACGCGGATTGGCGGGATGTATATAGATAAACACGCTTGCCACTTGCCCTTCAGTTCTCTGTGAACGGATCATTCTCTTGGGAAGCACCTAAGCATAAATAGCAGCCCTTTCTCCTGTCGTATATTTGTATTTGTGAAACGTGAGGATTCCACTTTCTCTCCTTGCTCCTTATCATGGGAGATGAAGAGTCAGTTCATTAAACTATCGGCTACGTGGCCTCCTTCGAGTCAGTAATTAAAACTGCCTGGCCGTTTGAACGTACCTATTACCCTTCATTGATATTCACTTTCAGGCTAAGCAAAGTTGGGCAAAGACTAGAAAGGGTACATAGTAGTGAGGAAAATAAATTAAATGCAGGGAATAAAAGAAATCTACAAAAACCTAGTTTGTATAAATGCAATTCAATATATCTCTCCTGTACAGAGGCATCTAGTAATTTGTGTTTGTGTAAATTATATTTATGTACATTTCCTTTTCCAATCATCCTTGGTTCCATTATGTATATAATTCACTGATTCTACATTACCTTTTGTTCTTTAAACTTATCATTTCTTTCTTTTGAGGGTCTTTTCGACTCCAATCACAGTTTTCTATTTTCCTTTCTCCATTCTTCCCACATATTTTCATTTTGTGATTTGTTTCTCATTCTCTATGACTAAACTACATAAAAGTCTTTCTCATTGGTAATTCACTCTTTGTGTTCATATTCATTCAGCATCTATTACTTTTTCATATTCTTGTTTTTAGCCATACTCTTTTTAAGAATACTGTTTTGGTTGCATTACACTGCTTTGACTTGTACATCATATTTCAAGAGTATCCAAAATACATGACCATGTATTAATTTTGTATTCTAACATGCTATTGTTCCATTTCAGGATAAGCACTTTTATGCAAAATAAATTAAAAGTCTGAGATTAAACCAGAAAATAAAAGCTAAATGTAGCTTAGGCCATCTTCATATTGTTCAATCCTTCCTTTCATTGGGACAATTTATTTCTTCATAAGATTGTCTTTCGTTCTTTAAATTCTCTTTTGGAAGATCTCATGAATTCCATCCAATTCCAATTTTCTCAGTCTTTTTTTTCTCTCTGTTTCTTCTCCCACACAGCCTTCCTTCATATATATTTTTACCATTTTATTCTTTCTGTCAGTAAACTATGTCAATTTACTTTCATACTACTGATACTCATTTAAATCTGATTTCAGCCCACATTCAATCAGCGCCTATTCATTTTTACCCTCTTTTAGTTTTATCATGAACACGTAAATACAATTCCCTGTAAATCCAGCTTACTCTTACATTTCTCCTGGCAAATCTAGTTCTCACTTCCAGGTAACGAAATGGGCAGAAGCACATTTCTGTATAGCCATTTCTATTTTTCTCAACATAGTCTTATTTTGAAAATCTTCTGCTAACTTTTTAAAAGTATTTGCTTGTTTTAACATTTCTCCATTTTTTATTTTTAATACATATTCCACCAAGCTACACAAATTCATTTAAATGCTCTAATGTTTCACAATTCATGTACAATTTGCAATTGTTTTCTCTATCTTCTCTGTCCAACAAAGTTATATGGATTATCAATACATTCATTTACCTATCTTTTTATATCATAAATTAAATTTAACATTCGGTATGAGATACTTGGCTTCTCAACCAATAAAATGAGTTCCTCGTCATATAAAAAACAACTCATTCATACCTCCAGTCAAAAATATCTGTAATATCTGCACTTGATCTTAGCCAAAAGGCCAAGATGTTATAGATTTATATGATTTGGGTCTCTCTTCAGATCGTATAAATCTATAACATAATCAGAAGGTAATCATAGAGGCATGATGCATCCTCAGCTTCCTTCCTGCTTAATGATTATTTGCCAAGGGTTCCATTTTCTCTTTCATGCTGTATTTACATCATATATCTCCCTTATCATGCATACTCTGCAACCAACTTCCATTTTTTTTGCAACATTTTCCATAACCGGTCAATTTATTATATGCTCTAGCTAAATCAACAAACATAAAATACGTTGCTTTCTCACACTCATAACTTCTTCAATAACCTGCTAAAAAGCAAAAAATATACACAATTTGCTATTCAGCATAATGCTGCACTACATATCCTAAGTTTTATATATTACTACCTCTTACCCTTTCAGTCAGAATTCTGCAGAATACTATCTCAAGGGTTTTCAACAAATTATTTTCACTGTAATGTTTGCATTCATCCTCCTTATTTTTCCCTTTGTAAATCATTGTTAATCATCTTTATAGTCCTCATGCATATTTATTTATCAAATTAGAAACCACCCATCTCAATCCCATAAGACATGTTAAACTATTTCATATCTATATATTTACATATCTCTAATCACAGGTATGCTTGCAGTCTAACCATTTTTTAATCCACTAATAGTATTAACTTTTTCATCCTTACTTTTCCTAGACATCGATGTTTATATTAATTTCAGTTCCTCTTTCGATACACCCTTATAATTCCCATACAAACCTTTAAAATTTTCCTTTCAGTATTCTCTCATTATAAATTATTTGATTATTTTTATTTTTAATTCCATTCATTATATTGGAGGCCCTTTTTTTAGCAGATTTGCCCACTTCCAAAGTCATTTACATAATTATATTTCCATCAACACCATTCTGCAATTTCCCTGCCTCTACCTAATTTTAATTACTTCTTTGGAGTACATTCAACTATTTTTTTCTCTACAGTTATACAATATATTTCTCTTGTCCAAATTTTTTACATATACCATCGCTTTACATGTACAAGTTATTTTCTAACCCATAACATTTTCACTTCATTCTACCTAGTATTATTTTTCAAACTTTCCACTACAGTAGTATAACTCCACACATTTCTATTTCATATACTGAAAAACAATTGTTGTTACTCTGATCCAGGATGATTCCACATCTGCTTTTGTTTGCCTACTTTCTATTCATTCTGTGGGGAGATGAAGGTTTTTTTCATATAGATTAATATTTTTATTTCTGCAGTTATTCTATTTTTGCTATTTTCAAGTTCTTTCCTGCCATTATTTACACTTAATGGTCAAGTAAGTAATGGTCAGGTCCATATTCAGGATCTTTCCTCATACTTGTATCTTTTGTTAGTCTTTCATCACTTATAATCAAAATAGTTATGCTTTTAATTACTTTGTCTTTGTAAATATGGATAACCTTATTTTTAAATCTCAGGTTCAAAAACAAACCACCATTTTCTAATTATATATCATTCTCATTCATCCTTGGGTCTCTTTGTTCCCATTCATGTCACCTAACAAAATATTTTTCTCCCAGATCAAATTCACTTAGAATGTTACGAAAGGGATAAATGTTAATAAAGGGAACACAAATGTAAGACATCCTAGATCTGAATGAATGAAATATTCTTATTAAATACTTTGTTCATTACATAGTTGAATGTGCTGACAACAAAATCACACAAAAATTATCAATGGAAATCAAAGTTAGCAACCCATGGAGGTCTGGATTTGGAGTTACACTCAAAATTAAAGTGGAAAAAAACACTACAGGCTGATCCAACTTTGATGTAATGTCCTTAAAACAAGTCAAAATGAGGCTCAGTAGTGTGTGTGGCCTCCACGTGCCTGCATGACCTCCCTACAACACCTGGGCATGCTCCTGATGAGGTGGTGGATGGTCTCCTGAGGGATCTCCTCCCACACCTGGACTAAAGCATCCCCCAACTCCTGGACAGTCTGTGGTGCAACGTGGCATTGGTGGATGGAGCGAGACATGATGTCCCAGATGTGCTCAATTGGATTCAGGTCTGGGGAATGGGCGGGCCAGTCCATAGCATCAATGCCTTCGTCTTGCAGGAACTGCTGACACACTCCAGCCACATGAGGTCTAGCATTGTCGTGCATTAGGAGAAACCCAGGGCCAACTGCACCAGCATATGGTCTCAGAAGGGGTCTGAAGATCTCATCTCGGTACCTAATGGCAGTCAGGCTACCTCTGGCAAGCACATGGAAGGCTGTGTGGCCCCCTAAAGAAATGCCACCCCACACCATTACTGACCCACTGCCAAACCGGTCATGCTGGAGGATGTTGCAGGCAGCAGAACGTTCTCCATGGCGTCTCCAGACCCTGTCACGTCTGTCACATGTGCTCAGTGTTTACC